GATTTGCATTAATGCGCTTTGTTTTGTTTATGATAACATACCTGGTACACCATTAAAAAAAGTTCTTTTTTTTTCACAGTGATGTTGTCAGGATTATTGAAAGTTTGTTACCAGGTGTTATGCTCTGGTTGTGGTAATGATTAAAGTTTACCATAGATACAGTAGCTGAGGGAAAGGTAACAGTTACTACATTGCTGATTTTGTTAACTTAAACAATAGACGAATGAAAGGGAAAGGTTTTATTTTGTTTTTGTTGATAAATTATTTGTCACTTGTCAAACAGTAAGATGTTCTTTTATGCGGTTACATTTGAATGCAGTTGACTACCGTAGCGCGTGAAAATGCAGCAATAGGCATTATGTGGTTGTATGAGGCTGTTTTCACTGAAACACTGGCCAAATATTAGTTTTGATTTCTGGTATTATTTTTTCAACTGTTGGTTTCGTTGTTCAACAGAACATTGCATAAAAGAGCAATGATGTTAAGCATGCGAACATAATAAACATTTGGAACATATGGTTTTCAAGCGGACCTATAAGCTGTCAAAGGAAATGTTTTGTTCAGTTATTTGATGCGTTGATGCGAAATTAATGGCGGCACTGATAGTTTGGTGGGCAACAGCAAAGCATCAAAATTTGGAATATTTTATTCAAAGTTGTTTTTTTTAAGTTTTTTATTACTATTTTTTTCACTCTGACGACCTGTTCACCATAAAAAACTATTCTGTATTGTTTTCCTCCGAAGCATGTTGAACAGAAAGACTGACCAATGTTTTATCTTCTATATCAATGGTAGTATTCCAGTTTATTTGGCGTTTTAACTTTCCGCTTTCACTATTTCAAATGTTTTTTGTAGATGCAAAATTTTTTTATCTTTTAATTTTAACTTTTTGTCAGTGTTGATCAAATGAATTGATCGTTTTTATTTTCTATTTTTTATTTTTTTTTTTTACGTCAAGGTTTATATTTATTATTGTATTAGTGAATGATAAATCACTGACAGTCTCTTCTCGTAGAATTTCGCTCGGCTGTATTCCTTTGCATTTTTCTCTCCTAATATTTTAGCAACATTAAAAAAAATTGAAACGTTGAAAATTCATTAATTTGAGAAGCTGACATTTAATTAGCTTTGATAAGATTTTGTCTGCTTGGCGATACTGCTTGTTTCTTTTTGGAGGCATATTTTTTATTTTTATTTTTATTTTTTTACTTTTTTATCTCTTTTTTTTTTTTTTTTTTTTTTTTTTTTT